ACTAATTTTCGGCATGAAAGCGTTAACCGATTTCTGTAATATTTGGTAATCTAAACAAGGAATCTTCAAATTATAGAAGGCTTTTAATTTTAGGGCAATCGGAATAAACGATTAAGAGATACAAGCGTTAATAAAAGACCTTGTTTTTTAAAAAAACGCGAATATTTTCATAAAACGAAGATAGATTTTTTTCTAATTACGTTCAATGAGTTCCAAGACTTCAAGGTTTACTGTGAGCAAGTTTCCACAAAAACGGCTGCACAGAAATTGCTACACAGTTCACTGCTTAATTTTCGCTTCAAAATGATATGCTTGTGTATTTTCTTCAGCTGTTGCAAGAACGCTAAATAATTATTATATCGCACCTATCATTAGAAAGTTTAATGTTATCTAAAACTTTGCTGAATAATCGGAAAAGATCGGAAACTCGAAGGAAAAGCTATAAGCGAATGAAGAACAAGATGTTTATGTGCGTAATTTGTGAATTTCAAGATATTCAAGTTTGTTCGACTTTTGAAAAAACTACCGATTTGTTTTCGCTTATTTCTAAGTATGATAAAATACAGCATATATACAAACGGCCTAACCTTGTTTCAGGCGTGTAGCGTTGATGAAGCTCGGAGAATTTGGCTCGTCAATTTAGCTACTTCGTGTCTTCTATTTTTCAAATGCTAGGAAAACCCCTCGTGTTCCGTAAATTATTCAAACTTGCTGCGTTCTGGAATTTATTTGTCACTTGGGAATTTTACGGATCATCGAAAATTTAAATGATAATGAACGATCAATGACATTCCAAGGAAATTTTCGATGATCCGTAAAATTCCCAAGAGAAAATCCCACAACGCGGCATATTTGAATAATTTACGGAGACGAGGGGTTTTCAAAGCATTGGTAAAATGGAGGACATGAAGTAGCCAACTTGACGACTTAATTCGCCGAGCTGCGTCGAGGCTACACGCCCAAAACTAGGCGAGGCTGTTTTTATATATGCTGGATTTTATCATAATTTAAAAATTACGGAAAACAAATCGGTAGTTTTTTCACAAGTCAAACAAACGTGAATATTTTGAAATTCACAAATTACGCACTATAAACATCTTGTTCTTCATTTGCTTATAACTTTTACTGGGAATTTTCGATCTTTTCCGATTATTCAGCAAAGGTTTAGGTGGTATCAAGCTTTCTAATAATAGGTGCGATCTTAGCATTATTGAAGCGTTCTTGCAACAGATGAAGCAAATACACGAGCATATTATTTTGAAGCTAAAATTCAGCAGTGAACTGTGCAGCAATTTCTATGCAGCCGTTTTTGTGGAAACTTGCTCATAGTAAACATTGAAGTCTTGGAACTTATTGAACGTAATTAGAAAAAAATCTATCTTCGTTTTATGAAAATATTCGCGATTTCGTAAAAAAACAAGGTTTTCTAATAGCGCTTGTATCTCTAAATCTTAAATTTCGTTTGTCCTAAAATTAAAAGCCTTCTAAAATTTAAAGATTCCTTATTTTGAATACCAAAAATTACAGAAATCGGTTGACGCTTTCCTGCCAAAAAGTAGTTTTAAAAAAGGGAACCTCCGCTCCAATAAATAACCGCGGGCCACCTTAAAGCCCGGGCCAAACGAGGATGAGAGTTGGCTCTCATGAGAGTTTTATTCAACTATCATCTCATCGATTATCATCACCTCAGGAAAACGAGAGCGAAAGTCATCAAAGAATCTCAAGAAAACATTGAGCAGGTTCAAATTCGATGAGAGTCTCTGAGAGCGCATGAGAGTTTCAGATCAAACGAGAGCGAGAGTTTGAACTCTCAGTAACTCTCATCTTCGTTTGTTATATAGGTAAGAGTTTTGAAGGGACTGTGTGAGGCAATTTGAATTCATAGGAAACTTCAAAAGTAAATAAACATCATCAAGACAGTAGAAAGTGGTGGTTAGGATTGGGGAAGACTACAATTTTTAAAATTCCTTTCCTTTTCATGACGTTTAACCCTTTCACTCTCAGAATATTACTACAGTGGAACCTCCATAAAGGGGACACCCTCGGGACAAGGACAAGTGTCCCTTTTATAGAGGTTAATAGATACAAAGATTATGCAAGCGTTAATTTTGCCGGGACAAAAGTTTGTATCCCCTTAATAGAGGTGTCCCAAGGTAGAGGTTCCACTGTATTAATAACGTGTTTGCACCTTTTTTTTTAGTGAATTGAAGGCGTTTATCTGGGATTCTCCTGTCCTGTATTATGAAGCTTCTGAAAACTGTCAACTCACTACCGCTGGCGAACTGTTTGGACGGTCGGGTTATGGCATTGGAATGCCTAAAGTATGTATTAAAGTAGCTGTTAGATTCACGAAGCACTTTTATGTTAGGTTCTTCTTTTCTATTTCATAGTAAGCCGAAAACTAAAATGACCAAGCGACACAACATTCACGAAGATCTACCAGTTTACTAACCGATCAACGTGCGATAAATGTCGGTGTTATTGTAATTGTGAGTTTGCCACGCGCTCTGAAACTACAATAGCGAAAGCAAAATAGTAACAAATTGAACTCTGTGAGTACAAAAGGGGTCAGAAATTAGTACTATGAGTACTAGTGTGTGGAGACCTTGTATATTATTGGCAATGTTTTGTTTTATTATATTGTTTAAAAGAAATGCTTGTCACAGAATCGGACCACGCCCCTTTAAAGGTAAAAAAGTTAAAATTATATCATTGATCTTGCATAATTTCGTTTCAACAGGGTTCTCCGTGGAGTAATGAAATATCTCTTGCTATTCTGAACTTCCATGAGAGCGGTGTGATGGAAGAATTGGAAACCACGTGGATCGACACCAAGAAATGCGATGAACAGAGTAATTCACCCGCTACACTGGGGCTTAATCACATGCTGGGTATGTACTCCAAAACTTGAAGCAAGTGTGTGCATAACCCATTTTAACTCCCGTGAGTGCACCGACTGAAATATTGAAATGGGGAAAAAAATCTCACATTCATTTTGAAAATATCAATGAACTTGGAGGAAAAACATGCAAAATCAGAGTGTTTGCTCTGATTGGTCAGAAAACGAGAAAAAAGTACGTTTGCTCTGATTGGTCAGAAAACAAGTATGTTTGCTCTGATTGGTTAGAAAAGAAGTACGTCTTCTCTGATTGGTCAGAGCACGTTTCAAGAGTTTTTGGAACCAATCACGGAGCTCAGTAAACTGAAAACCAAAGCAATCACTTAGTCACTTGCAACAGTCAATTGAAAACCATTAATGTAAGCTGGCATAAGTAATTAAAATTCATCCGAATTTGTCATCAGGTGTGTTCATCATGGTTGCCGCTGGTATCGGAGCTGGGATCGTGATCATTATCCTAGAAATTCTGTACCACAAGCACCGTGGGTGGAAAGAAGAACAAAAAGAGCTGGCTAAAAAGACCACGGATAAATGGCGCGCTAACATCATGATGATGAAGAAGGATCGCACCAGAAATGGGCAACAGCCCAACGGTGTTATCGATTCACATTCCCCGCAGACTGACGGGATAGCTCGCAGGAACCCAATCTACAACCCCGAGAATCACGTGGACAGCACGTTCACGTATAATTAAATTCACGCGTGCTTCGCATGCGTGATCCAATGTGCTAGACTGCAAAACACAAATGCAGCGATGTATAAATATTTAAAAACAAGAATCCCCAATAGTTTGGTCACTCAAAGGTGCACCAGCCAGTAATATATTTAAAATACAAGTATAACTTATCATAAGGAAAATATGGGGCTCTAAACTCCAAACGCATAAATTAAAATCAGCAACAGCATCAAAATCATGTGAAAGGTAAAATGTTATATTTTATCATTTTACATTGTCCAGAAAAAAGTTCTGATTGCCATCAAACGAGCGTCAATAACTCAAAGACGCTGGCTGGTGTGCAGTTGGGATTACATATGCACTGCTTTTAGAGCAATTCAAATATGTCTAAAATACTCCACTCTAATGTTGCATAGACGTAAACAGTGCATTTCACGTCTGATCCTTTGCTGATGCTCAGCGTTTAAAACTTAATATTAAGTTTAAACTTATTTACGTTCTATTTATTTGTCCATCACATTTGCTGGTGGTGCTGTTTTGATTGGTTTGGGTTTAATTCGTGTGTCCAACACTAATCAAATCTTCCACGAACATTGCCATTGAAGTACTAAACTTTTATGGTAATACAACAGGTACCAGAGACAACTTCTGATTGACTAGTGAAATAGACCAATCAGAAAACAGAACGAGAATGACGTCAGACGATGACGTTATGGGACGGTGGTACAATGGGATGGGGTTGTGTGGAAAACAGTTAACAAAGGGTTAACAAATGGTTAACAAAGGGTAGTTTTGTGTATAACTAAAAGAACAGCAACACACCAAAAACTGAAGCAATATTCTAATGCTTGATTTACAGTGGTGTTTTTGTGTTACCTGTTTTTCACACAGGAGAAAGGGAGTGAAAACGGAAAAATGGTCTCTGTTGATTAGTTGTTTAAAACATCCATTATATTAATATATAATTCAACTCTTGGGATCACAGTATGCTCCTGGATAAAAAGCTAGATTTAATTTATCATAATATATATACAAGTGCATTTATCAATTTAATATATCTTATTTATGGATTACGGGCGCGATAAAGACAAATGCCAAGAGTTTACCTTTTGTCTTTTTTAGTTATAATGAAGTAAATCTTATTTGTTGTAATTTATACATCTTGTAGAATCAAAATCAATCAGCAAAGGCAAATTATGCAACGAGCCAATCATAAAAACGTAGATATTAATTAACCAATCAGAACTTGAAGCAGTGACAAGCGCGGGAAAACGCGTGCAAGGCATGGCATGATTGTAGTTATGCTCCTGATTGGTTAAAGAACGAACAAGAAAAGAAAAGAAAGAAAAGAAAGAAAGAAAGAAAGCAAACACTATGTAAAGTGGAATGGTAACTTGGGTATAGTGAAGAAATGCTCTCGAATTACTCCCCCCAATGGGAGTCGAACCCGTGACCTTCCAGTTCCCGTTGGATGCTCTAACCACTGAGCTAAGGGAGACTTGGGGAGCAAGGCCATACAACTAGGTACATATGGGACACATGACCTGCCAGTCTGCAAGGCTCACGTTTATTGAGTTCGTGATCAACACAAAACCAAAGTTAACACATTTACTTTTGACAGTCGATCCAGCTTTATGCAGAAAGCGATTCGATATTGAAGCTATAAAGAAATACAATTCCAGTATCATCGAGAATTGAAACTGTTTATTGAATTATAACATTTTATTTATCAATTATGCTAATTTATGGCTACCCCTAGTGGAATGGATTATTTGCAGAATCATTGTTATATTTATTTATTGTATATGTACAAGAGTAATAAGTAGTTCAACTGTATATAATTAAGTGATAAACAATTTGTCTCTTATTTCGGTACAATAACGGAATCAAGTAATTTATGTTACACTCCCGATAATCGATCTTGCATAAATCAACTTGCATCAATTAAAATGTTTTGTAAATAAATTAACGTATGTGTAAATAAACTAATAAATGTTGAAAAAAAACCCCGAAACGATTCGGACAAATTTAAACTTGTCCATTTAAGTGAAATTGAAATCGTTGTTATCGAGCAATGCAATAAAATAGCACTGAAATATATATGGTCGTCTTCGTCATAATCGTCGTCGACGTTGGGGTTGTCGTCAACTTGTATGGCTTGTTAGCCAACTTCGATCCCAAGGGAGGAAAAGGAGAGAGAGCCTGGGATCGATGTTATATATTCAGTACTCATCCTGTTTGTTTGTGTTAGTTATTTACTAATAGAATAGTCCATAGTCCATACGCCAGTCAACCAGCAACGGCAATTTACAGCTGTCATAACCAAGCCTCTCACGGTCTCTGCTGTGACAAATTGGAAACGCCAGAGACCGCTGATCCGGGCCGCTAGAATACAACAAAATATAAACATGTCATTTATAGCACTGGTAGAAATCAACTAGTTTTGTAACGGAAATGCTGTAATCTGGTTGGTGAAGCTTCTTAGTTTCTAATGAAAAGTTAAGCTCGGTACACCAAGAGTAAACTGTCTTGTGTAATACCTCAAGTCCAACACGCGAAGACAGTGCTACGCATCAGATTAAACACGCCTTTACGAGGTGACCGGTTATTAGAAATTAAATGGAATTGAAATAAAGAGGTGACTACCAAATATACGTGATGTCGAGCAAGTAAAGTTTCGTAAAGTATCTTTAAGTGTATTTACCCCGCTTCCATTTGCAGTGGAGAGAGTTTCTTAGAGAGATCATTGTAGTTCTGAGGTGACTGTGAATGTGTTTGAAACACGTCATGTGACTCGGACCAAACCTTCTTTTTCCTGTTAAATGCCCTTCTCACCTACAAATAGCAATAGCATTGAAACTTCGGTTAGAGAAAGATACTCTTTTGCTAGTGTTTTGCGAGTTCTAAAATTACTGCTTAAAATCCAGAAGTATCCTTGGAATATTTAGTCACTGAATAGAAAAAATACATTTGGGTCTGATTTCGTTTGTAGTCAGGGAAGACCTGAGCTAAGCTAAGCATGAAAGCTTCAAAGATGTGTACCACGCCAGATACGAAAAAACACTAAAATGCCAACCACTCTTTAGATGTGGCCAAAAAATGTGTGGAAGTGGCAGTGGCACTGAACCTCGGGAAAGAGCTACAAAATAAGCAGGAACACCCCTACTAAAACTAAAAAGAAAACTAGTCGAGTTTCCGTTTCTTGTTTTCCAGTCAATGACGTCAGTTTTCCGCCACGTTACGCGAGTTGAAAACGCGGGCTCAGTTAATTTATGGAGACGGATATCTTGTCCACCCAAGTGACATCCCGATTTCGACGATTTGAAGAATAAAACCATTACAGATCATTACAGTATTTATATGTATGCAGTAGCAAAATATATGCATATGGCCGTTTATGTTACTCACCTCTGAGTTCAGAAGGCAATGAAATAGGAAAATGAAGAATCCCTGAAAGAGGAAATACATTATTTTATGCAATCACCTGTGGGGGTTTATTTTCTGGCAGTTCGTATGATTTTGCTTTTGTAATATGTAATCTCTTTAGATAGGAGCATAGGGGTGATATGCTCCTGCTTTAGAAGAAACATTGTTACTTTCTGAATAAAAAACCCCAACATATTTTCAACAAATGAAGCACATATGTTTTCTCTTTTTTGGTAAGGTTGTAACTATTTTTATCATTATTATTATTAGTAGTGATGAAATAGTAAAACAAATAGTTACATTATTATAGCAAAATGTTGCGTTTTTGCAAAATCTCGACGATTTACTAATACTGCTTCACAAAATATCTTTGTTCTTCTAAATCAAATTGTTATTTACTGTAATAAGTTAATTGAGAAATAAATGCGCTGTTGAACCATCCATGATAACGCATATACAAACCTGTAACGAGTTAAAGATAGCGAACAGATACTGGAAAGCCAGCGTGTCACTGTTGAATGTCAATATTCCAAACAGCCACGTGATTCCCAGTAAAGGTAACAGTACAACAGCTGACTGAACGCCTGACCTATCACGTGAAAAACTCGTGCTTAGTACTTAGTATAGTTATCAACGCGTTCTACTTTGCTATTTTTATAGGCATTCCTCTGATATAAAGCGATTTCAGCGAGTTTTCTGGGACTTGAATTACATTCGACGCGACTGAAATGCGTCTGACATACGGCGTATAAATTGGACCTTACAGAGTTACAAGTGAAGAGCACAGTTAAATTTCAATTCATTTTCTTTCAATTTATTGGAAATTAGGCGTGCAGAGTAAGATTAATCCGTAGAACACCGGGTTACCACATGCTTCGCCGTACCTTGCAGACTGATACTTAGTGTCATCTCCCGTCGTTGGATGATTCAACCTTAGAATCTCCTTAACAACCATCCCAAGTATGATTGAATTTGCCTACGAAAACAAAGTATGTAAAGTTAGCTGTAAGCCCACTATCGACCATAATTAAACGACACAACTCAAATGCAATCTGATTCTCATATCAATTAAATCAAAATTTTAAAGTTGATTGAGGGGAGAGGAACAGTTCAGCGAGAAACGGCCTAAAGAATAAGGGAGGGGGAAAATGAGTTTAAAAATAGGGAGATCTATCAGATATTTAACTGTTCCTGCCCCCTCTTTTAAAGGGACACTGTCCTCATTTTTAGCATGATTTTGGGAAGCTCAGAAACATATCCAGATCATAGGAAGCTAAACAATAATGGTTTGATTTTGCAGAATAGTACTCGACAAATGACAGGAATCCATTAGGAAGTGAGGATGACTAACGATAGCGAGGATGGAAATGGATTACAATATGGATTTTTGAAAAAGTGACACTGAGACTGTTTTTTTTTTTCAGAGTTTCAAGTTTGGCTCGGAACTCTTTGAAATTTTGCAAAAATATTGTTGCAGTATGGAATTTCTTCACGAAATTGCTTTTTATCATATAGTTAGAGTTTATTAAGTTCTTATTCCATAAATTTAGGGACCATTTTGTGCATTTATAACAGTTTTGAGAAAATACCCGGGACAGTATCCCTTTAAGAGGGAACAATTAAAATTAAAATCAGTGCGTTTCTCTTACCAATGCAATAAGAATGACAGGCACTACGAAACTCCAAATAGTTCCTTTCTGTACAGAGAGCCAACAACTGGAAAACAACAACAATAACAACAACAAAATAAATGTTGCGTGAGAAGAAAACGCAAACAAAAGTAAGGGGATAATCAAGACACATTCTGTAGTTGTTGTTGTTGTTGTAGCAAGCGTCACTGACGTTCATTAAATCAACTGACATTTGTTCAATCTGTCAGCCAGCCAGTTAGCTAGTGCATTCCACCAGCCAGCTAGTCAGTCAGTTAGTTAGTGTCTATCTCACCCTTGCTCCAGAGGTCAGTTATCGACTGTTAAACCACGAAAGCGGTTAGAAGAAGACCGAAGAAGCTCCCGCGCCTCGCTGTCGCGGCTTCCAGGGTATGTCTATCTCATCTCAGCGAGAACATTTCAGTATACACATGCATATGTTATGAGATTGACAAACCTTGTATCAGTTCCATATCCGTCAAAACTTGCTGATAATGTGATAACAACGAATACAAATGGAATTCCTGTCGAAACCAATTTAAAATAAACATCGATCATTTTTCGCCACATCAGATTTACTAAGATAGTCAATTGTAAGCCGCACCTTTGTGATTACCTCTAAATTATAGACAGAAAAATCGAACATAGTCGCCTGCGTGAGATAGCTATTATAAATAGTTGTTATTTTATTCATGAATTTTAAATGGTTTGGAGTTGAGTTCTTCAGAGGTGTGGCCTGTATTCTTGTTTGCAAATGGTAGATTCAGTAAGAAAGTAAAATCTTTGCTTTGCTCTCCAGCATTTTTGTCAGGTTGCTCCTACAATTCACCCATAGGTACCTATTTTACTCCTGGGTGGAGAGAGCCACCAACAACACAGCACAAAGACCCAGTCCAGCGGTCGAACTCCACGGACCTCTGAAGCACACTAATTGACCCCAAACAGATTATTTTAGTGGAACAAATGATTTTCTTGTTAATAGCCACCTTACCCCAAGCGCATGCGCAGTATTTCTTTATTCTGCTGTGTCCCGTCTCAAAGACTCGAACTATCATGACGTAGAGCCAGACCCCCTCGACCAACATCCAGGTGAATGAGACTAGGTTAAAGTAATGAAGAAGAACGGCCACGATCTTGCAGGCTGCCTAATAAATGAAATTGAAAAAATATGTTAGATATATATGTTAGTCGGTGGGTCAGCAGAAAAACTGACAAGTGAGCTTGCTCAGTTGTTTTCGACCCTCTGATCCCCAGCAGTGTACAGTTCGATTGCTATCTTCTCTCTACTGTGTAAGTAGACTTGTCATGAGAATAAGGAACTGGTCATCGCAGGAACAGAAACGTTTCACTTAAGCCGATTTCTCTCTCGGGAACAAAGATACACAATCTATTGTTGAAAAGCGGTAAAGAGAATGTCGATCAC